TAATCGATCAGCTGCCTCCTGCACACTCCCTACTGGGTATGTGCCTGCAACCAAGGTACATGCCCTTGACCGGAATTGAACCTGGGACCCTACAGTCCGAAGGCCGACACTCTATCCACTGAGCCAAACCAGTAGGGCCTAAAAGTTTTTGCACAGCAAAGAAAATCATCAACAAAATGAAAAGACTTCATATTAAGTGAAAGAAGATATCTGCCAATGATACACCCAAAAAGAGGATAACATCTGAAATATATGTGAAACTCATAAAACTTAACACCAAAGAAATATTCAATGTAAAAAGTGGGCAGAGGATCTGAATAGATACTTTCCAAGGAAGACAATAGACACAGGAAGAGAAACTCAACAGTACTAGTTATAAGAGAAATGCAAATAAAAATATGATGAGATACCATCTCACATCTTTTAGAATGGCGATTATCAATAAAATAAACAAGTGTTGGAGAGGACATGGAAAAAAAGGGAACCCTTGTATACTGCTGGTGGGAATGTAAATTGGTGCAGCTACTATGGAAAATAGTATAGAGGTTCCTCAGAAAATTAAGAATGGAACTACCATATGACCCAGCAATCCAATCCCTCTTCTGGGTATCTACTCCCCAAAATTTGAAAACTCTTATTTGTAAAGATGTGTGTACCCCTATATTTATTGTAGCATTATTCATAATAGTCAAGACATGGAATCAACCTAAGTAGCTTTTGAAGATGATTGAATAAAAAAGATGTGGGACATATATACAATGGAATACTACTTACCGATAAAAAATATGAAATATTGCCGTTTGCAAAAATACTTGCAAAAACATGGATGGATCTTGAGAATATTATGCTAAGTGAAATAAGTCAGATGGAAAAGGGGAAGAACCATATGATGTTACTCGTGTGGGATATAAATCAAAAAACAACAAACAAACTCATAGATACAACAGACTGGTGGTTACCAGAGGGGAAGTAAGATAGGGGAAGTCGAAGAGGGCAGAGGAGTTCAAAAACACATGGTGACTAGGAGGCTAGTCACCTCATGTGGTGAGCACACAATAGAGTATCCAGATGTCATATTAAAAAGTCGTAGACCTGCAATTTAAATACTGTAATTAACCAATGTTAACCCCCAAAGTTTAAAATAGAACTAATATTCTTCACTCCTTAAAACAATAAGTGGTAGAAAATCTCTTCATGTATTCACAGAGGGAAGCAAAATTAGGAAAATTTTTTATTCCTTATTCTGGATAAATAATATAATTTTTAAAGTTAATTCAACTTTATTATAAAATCAAGGATATTTTACTAGAATAGGAAGGTTAAATAGTTTTAAACATAAGTGAACAGATAATGAAAAATTTCATTTCCATGTGTGGGGTCAGACCAAAAATTTTGTTTAAGTATTGTATAATCCTGTATACCATTCTCCCACAAATTTGCATTTCAGCTTATCAGTACCTTGCCATTTAAAATCTTTGTGCTAAAATATTGTGTATATTAACTTGACAGTTTGCTGGTTACGAACTTGTTTTTAGGTGCTGTCATCCCTTTTTCAGTTCTGAGGCCAAAGAATCAAAAAACACTAATTCAGAGCTGAGGAAGTGAAGTGCCTTAGCTGGCGTTGTGTGCATGCCCTCTGCCTTGCCATTGACCTTGGGAACGACCCAGAATGTCTCCAGTCCACTCCCCTTCATGAAACTGGGTGCAACTAGAACAACTCAAACAATGACTTGGAAAGTCTACACAAATGCGACTTATTATTGTTCTTCCTTATGATTCTACTTTAAGATCATCCTCAGTCTTATTAATAACTGTATGATAGAACATTATGTTTTCTGAATTTGTATACATAGATAGTAAAAGCTGCAACTTTTAAAAATTTATCTTTATTGTTGAAAGTATTACAGATGTCCCCTTTTTCCCCCCAGTGACCTCCAGCCCTCCTTCCCACCCAGGCCTGTCTGTGTCCATGGGTCATGCATATATGCACATAGCGTTTATGTTAGGAATACATCCATCCTAGAACTGGCATCAGGAGAAGTCAGGGCCTCCTCTAGACTTCCAGTGCCTGCACAGCACGTTTCCTGGGGCTGGTCATACGCAAGGGTCCCGTGGTGCTGTCAGTGGTGGGGCCTCTGCCCAGCACAGCTATTGGGCACACGCCCTACCTTCCCAGAGCCAAAGGGACTGCCAGATGCTTGGAAGAAAACCTCTGTGTCGCTTCCTCCTTTTCTCATCTAAGTGATGATTTTGTGTGTCACCTTCCCTGTCTAGCTATGATCCTGGCAGGGAAAGCCTACTACGATGGAGTGGCCAAGATTGGTGAGATTGCCACCGGGTCCCCTGTGTCGACAGAGCTGGGTGAGCTGATCGTCATTATATGTAAACCCCGCTCGGCTACAAGGTCTGCAAATCGGGACTAGAAAGGAGAGCTAGCCCAGCACCCCAGTGTGGCCACTTCTGGGATGATCAAGTTCACTGTGGTGTGTCGAAGGTGGAGGCTTAGAGGGCAGGCCAAAGCCTGTGCCCTGCCTCCCTGCTCCTTAGAAATTGGGCTTCTGCCCCTGAGGCTTGGGCTCAGCCCTTACCCCTGAAGCCCAAAGCCCAGGGAGCTTTGACCTACATTCGCAACTGAAGGAGCTGGGCGGGTTCTGGTCTGGCGGGAGGGTTTCCTGTGACTCACCTAGCAGAGAGTCAGCCCTTTGCGTTCTGTTCTTGGCTCTCCATGCTTCCACAGTTGCTCTCAGTTGTGATTTTTCCGGTCTCGCTGGTATGAATTGGTCTCCTGTGCACACTCGAGGGCAGCCACACCCTCGGTGGTGCCAGCTGCCAGGGGAATCTATCTGGGTTTCTATTTACAGAGCCAGTTCCTCCTGGCTCATCTCCTAAGGGGGAAAGGTCCATTTTTTTTTTTTTTTGTCACTAGCTCTACACACAACCATTAGTTTTAAAACTTGTCAAATATGTTTTATAAAGGGTCAATTTTTGGCTTCAAAATGCTCTAATTTGGAAGGTTGAGAAAGCCAGAAGGAAAGTGTGTGCCTGCTGAAAGAAAAGGGGGTCTGTCTCCCGTTAAAGTTGGGGAGGAAAGCAGAGCATACACTTTAAAGTTCAGGTAACTCACCCCATTTCTATGTCAGGTGTCTCGAGGGTTTGCAGCATTGCTTGGAAAACACCATAAAAGTGGAGGAACAAATCTGAGGTGTGGTGACAGAGCTGGGGCTGGAGACTGGGCTGCTGGCTGTGAAGTGGGTCTGGGTGCTCGTTAACATTCTCTGACTTAAAAATTGGGTTTTGTACTTGTAGCATTTATTGTCTTAGAACCTGGAGATGAAGCCTAGGCCTGAAGGGTGCTGTATGATGGATAAATCAGCACTGTATTTAACAGAATCAATTACACACAGAAACTTTTCAGAACCCTCCCTGACTTGGGTTCTGTTGGCTCTGTAGGTTCTGGCGAGGCCTAAACTAGAGTAATTCTGTCCTGAGCAGGGTCAGTGTGATAAACTATTCACTGGGACATGGAGGGATGCCTGCGATGTTTATAGGGTTCCAAAATATAGGACTAAATGAAAAAGAAACATCCTATATGGGGAAACATGCATGACACTCACATTAAAACTCAGGATGCTCTGACTCACCGTTGCTCAGTTTGCCGATTTTGTTTTATGGTTCTGGCCACTGTTTAAATAAGACTTCTGTTCCACACCTTGTTTTATTCAGCTGTGAGTTCATAATGTTGAATCAGCTATTTCCACAGCAACCCATGTTGTTATGAACACAGGCTTAAAACTTCCATTCCAGTAAGGAAAGTACGTTGCACTGGTGGAGTTTCATGTGGATATGTGTTTTATTCAGAGGGAATGGAAGTAACTTTTGTTGTGTGTTATTTTTGTTTCAAGTTGTCCTTCTGCTTATATTTGTTATCTCATATGGTTATTAATTTTCTGTTCATTTATATCAACTCCATGGTAAAGTTTTGTCCTAGTAAGAGTTGCTTTTGGAGGCCTAATATTTTTTTATTTGCTGAGTTCTTTTATTGTTAGTTTAGACTAAAATACTACCCTATACCTGTTTAAATTCCCTGTATTGAAGTGTAGTGGAAAATTCATAGGAAAAAGAGAAAAACCTAAGTTAGATAGTATTTTTCTCACTTTTCTAGATTTTATTGATATCCTTTTCTCCAAAGAAAAGCAGTGGGTTTAGTATCTAAGCGCTTGGGTTTAGTAGGCATGAGCAGCATGATCCTAGCAACCACAGCCATGTAAGAAGCTCGAGAGCTTAACCATCTTGCCTTGTTGGGAGCAATAAGCAAACAACAAAAAGCCAGAAACCAGAGGTCTGCAGTCAGGATTTGGCAGGTAAAATATTTTAAGCCCCTGTGTTTAATTGGTATGTAGTAAGTCATGTGACTCAGGTTGTCAGGGTGTGTGCCTGCGGTCACCTACATAAGTCAAAGAACTGGACTCATTTAAAAGGGGAAACTGAACCCTAGCCTGTTTGGCTCAGTGGATAGAGCGTCAGCCCTCGGACTGAAGGGTCCTGTGTTCGATTCTGGTCAAGGGGCACATACCTCGGTTACAGGGTCGATCCCTGGCCCAGGTCAGGACTCGTGTGGGAGGCAACCAAATGATGTGTCTTTCACACATTGATGTTTCTCTGTATTTCTCCTCCTCCACTCTCTCTAAAAGTTAATGGAAAAATATCCTCGGGTGAGGATTAACAAAAAATAAAATAAAATAATAATAATAATAAAAGAGGAAACTGAAATGCATGCAAAACTTCCAATTTTGTCCCTAAATCAAACAACACTTATTTTTAAAAATTTAGAAAATATTGAAAAGGTAGAAAGGAAAAACACATGGTCAGTGGAAAATGTTTTGGCAAAAATATTTAAAAGAAACTTTGAACCTGTTTTAGCATCCTTAAAGCATACACAAATAAAACTTGTTCTCATTTATTTCTCAAGGAATAACAGGAGACTTTCTTTGGGGAGTTGATGAGTTTGCTTTGAGATCCTTACAGCTCACCATTACATAAATTAAGACTGTTATTTTGTTCCCATTTAGTCAGCTATTACATTATTTTGAATTTGAATTGCTTATTAAATTGTTTGGGCCAGTTTCTTAAATTGGGCACAAAACAGAAGTTTTTTGTCCCCTCAGAAGATTAATGTCCACTAGGGAACATTAAAAAATCATAGGTTTTGCCAAAACCGGTTTGGCTCAGTGGATAGAGCGCCGGCTTGCGGACTGAAAGGTCCCGGGTTCGATTCCGGTCAAGGGCATGTACCTGGGTTGCGGGCACATCCCCAGTGGGAGATGTGCAGGAGGCAGCTGATCGATGTTCCTCTCTCATCGATGTTTCTGACTCTCTATCTCTCTCCCTTCCTCTCTGTAAAAAATCAATAAAATATATTTAAAAAAATCATAGGTTTTCTTTTGTTATTAATAGAATGTTTATAGGTCTTGCAATTTAAAAAATATATATTTATTACAGTTTTGCCTCATTGATACTCAAAATTCAACTTGATGGTCTTAGGTCTTAAAAAAAAAAGAGCAAGGGAAAATTTGAAATATTTCAAAAGAAGTGTTATGAATTCACAAAAATATTAATATAATCCTAAGGTTTAGATAAAGGAATTCATACCAGAGTTGATGAGAGAGCTAAGTTGAGCCAGAGCAGTTATTATTGACCCAAACCACTTATCTTTTCATTGCAAGTTTGACTCACTTTAAAGAGATTAAAATCCATCCCACAAAAATAGAAAACAATGAATAGGGAATTTATTTTATTTGGTGAACATAGTACCTGCTGAGTGCCAGGCACTGTTCTGAGCACCTTGCAGATACTGACTCCTCTCCTCATCACACAGCCCTCTGAAGCATCTGCTATTGTCTCCATTTTACAGGTGGGGAAACAGGGGCTCAGAGGGAGTAACTGCTGAGGTCACCCAACCGGTTAATGGCCAGTTAATTCGACGCAGGCAGGCTGCCAGCTCTGTGCCTAGTGCATCGACTTAATTGTGTATATGTCCAAAGATGTGCTTTTTCTGACGGGCTTTATTTTGAGGCAGTGAAGCTGACCCTGCCCAGTGTGGCTCAGCAGGTAAAAGGCTGTGTTAAATAGCTCACCACCAAGTGGTCTGAGACGGACCCGACATGTGTAAGTCTGTATTTTGTGTTTCTTTAAGACATAATCGGAGTTCTAAGAAAAGCATTCCTTCTCCCAGCTTTGAAGTAACTCAATGTGGAATTGATGTTCTACACTTAGTAAAAGGAACTACAGATGTAAAAGCTAAGCTGTCGAATCAAGGTGCCTCCGTTTCACATCTAGTGCCTCCTGAGTGTAACTTGCTACATCGCTGCCCATGTTTCAATACACTTGATTGTACCTGCCCATTCTCGTAACGCTTTGAATTTTGAAGTGTGTGCAGAGCTAATTGTCTTGTTTAAACCCAATTTTCACAATGATTCAAATTGGTCTTTTTCTTCTTTAAGGATATTGTGTGTCCTCTCAACTCAGGATGGGGAGAATGTAGCGGCCCTTGTTCTCATGCTCTCTGCCCATAGCCAGGAACAGCCGCTCAGGGGTCCTAGCAGCCATACTGGCCGCAGGGAGGGGTGGTGGCTCAGGCCCAGGGGGTGCCGCCTCCCCACTGCCACTGTTAATGTTCACGAGAGCCATGCACTCGCATCCTCTTACAGATGGGCGGTTCCTGCTCTGTGGCACTGTGCTGGGCCTTGAGTATGTGTCGGAAACAAAACCACTGAGTCTGACACACAAACCAAGGAAGGCAAGAAAGGGTGACTCAAGTCTGATGCACAGGAAACTGCAAAGGGAGGTGGCTCCTGTGACAGGCTGAGGAAGGAGGACCCGGAAGACGGGTATGGATAGAATCATGACATGAGCGAGGCCTGGCCTGGTGCACGTTCCCAAACCCATGGTGATGTAACAGTAGAGAGGGACAGCCATGGCTGGGTTACATTCTGAAAGTTCGGGGGTGACTGCACTTCCTCTGGTGCTCTTTCCTATAAAAGTATTAAAAAGTAGGGATGCCAAAAAGCCCATGAAAAGATGCTCAACATCATCAGCCACTAGGGAAATGCAAATCGCAACCACAATGAGATACCAGTTCACATCAGACACAGTGACTGTCATTAAAGAGGCAGATGATAACAGTGTTGGCAGAGATAAGTCGAGTCCTCACACATTGCTGGCAGGCACGTGAAGTGGAGCAGCTGCCTCGGAAAAGAGCCTGCCAGTGCCTCAGTTTAAACAGTTACCACAGGACCCAGCAATGCCATTTCTTTTTCTTTTTTTTTAACCTTATTTTTTTTTTTATTGATTTCAGAGAGGAA